CCGGCCCCCCCCGCCCCCGGGGGGGGGGGGGGGGGATCAGGGAGACCACCCGCAGCAGCTCTGCATGACCCAGTGCAGGGGGAGATCCGCCACTTGAGCTCGACAGGCAGTGGAGGGGCACAACATGTAAATGCATATATTCATCACAATACCATGGCAAGTCTAGGACAGATACCATCAACATCAAAGAGCCAATGTAGCGGCAGCATTCCAGTGGGGTCACTGCCGAGACCCCATCTGCCCCAGCTGCAGTACCGCTAGCCAGGGTGCAGGGGAGTAAAGGTACTCCACCCCTTAACTAGGGGAAGTGCAGCGAGTGCCCCGCTAGATCTCATACTTCTACCTCCTGTGTGAAAGAAGGACATGTTAGTAAGTGCCTGATCCCGGCAGGCAGTGGAGGGGCACAGCATTTAAAGGCATATATTCATCCCATTACCCTGGTGAGTCTAAAACAGTTAGCATCGACATCATGGAGCCAGAGAGGCGGCAGCGGACCAGCGGGACCACCGTCTCAACAACAGTCCCCTCATCTGCAGTTCCTCTAACCAAGGAGCAGGGGAGCAAAGGTACTTCACCCCTTAGCGAGGGGAAGTGCAGCGAGTGCCCCGCCTGCCCTAAGGCATCCACCACCTGTATGGGAGAAGGCCATGTCAGCAAATGCCAGTGAATCCGTGCAAAAACATAGAATAGGAAATACCATAACATAACATATGAACTAGTGAAACCGAATTATCTTCCTATGGGGGATACACCAGGAGATCCTAGTGGACCCAAGCCACCCTCCTCCCCCGCCCATCTGGTAACCATCACGTAAGCTAAGGGGCTCCATATAAAGGGTATGGGGAGCAAGCTTCAGGGGGGGGGTCCACTTCAATGGGGATTCGTCAGTTCTCACGTGCAGATCAGGGTTCACTCCGATTCGGTCCTGGATGGAGGGAAGCATCTCACGGCGGAGGTCTGTCCCGACTCCGAATAGGGTAGGGGTATCTCCTCGGGAGGGGGAGGGAGCTGCAGCCCGGGTAAGTGGGAAATCCAGCCAGTTAGGCACTTCAACAGCGCTCGAGTCCAGGAAGCTGTAGAGATCGGAGAGCTGGTCTGGAGACTGTAGGAAGAAGGATCTGTCATTCCGTCGTACAATGAGGTGAAATGGATGCCCCCATCTATACGTGGCCCCCACCGAGCGGATGAGGTCCAGCACAGGCCGAAGGAGTCTGCGCATCCGCAGGGTGTGTCTGGACAGGTCTGGCATCACCTGTATGGGGGCCCCATCAAAATCCAGTGGGCCCTGCGACCAGACCCGCCTCAGGATCTCCTCCTTGATGGCAAAGAAATGAACCCGGCACAGCACGTCCCGGGGGGCGCCCTCAGCACTGAGCCTGGGCCCCTGCGCCAGTGCACCCTGTCAAGTTCGAGGCGATCCGTGGGAGGTCTGCCCAGGTATTGATTCAGAATAGCTGTGACCGTCGACCACAGGTCTCTCCCCGCCGTTGCTTAGGGAATGCCTTTCAGCCGGAGGTTATTCCTGCGGTTCCGGTTCTCTAAATCGTCAAGAGCAAGGGACATGGCGATCATACGCTGGTTTGATTCCGATTGGGCCCTTTCAAGGGCAGCTAACCTTGCTGCAAATCCATCAGAGGTTGTCTCTAGCGTGCCCACCTTCCCCTCTAGGGAGGCCACCTGCTGCTTCACCTCTGCCATCTCAGTCCTCAGACCGCCACTATCTTTGAGGCCATACTGTCCAGATCTGCATTCGTCGGCAGGTGGGAGAGGGCATCTCTCCAGTCATTGGCCTCCTGGGGAGCTAGCTGTGCTGCGGGATCCCACCGATCCCCTGTCAGAGTCCATGCTGGGAATCTGGGGGGTCGGTATGGGGGAATCAGGAGGGTTCGAGTTGCGGGCGGGAGGAGCTCGACGGCCATGTCGAGACCACGCCCCACCCAATGTGATTTTTAGCCGAAGAGGTAAAGGTCCACTTTAACTTCATAGTAGTCACATAGGGGGCTTACAAATTTGCAACTACTATAACAGGAACTGCAAGAATCTGATACCAGGTCCAATTCTGGTACACTGCTTGCATTTAAAAAAAAAAAATAATGAAGTATTACTGAAAATAATGATTACAGAGCTCCAATAATTTGTATCTCGTACATCTGCCTAGAGTTCAGCTTTAAATGTATTTCTGAACACTTGTTTTCTTTCTCTAAATCTATTTTATAACCTCTTATGTTTTCTGTTCTGTTGCAGATTTCAAGCATACATATACTTTACTTCTGCTTTTCAAGCAATCTCATGTGGTATTCACTATCTGGCCTCCGTGTTCATTGCTGTTACACCAAAATATGTTTGCAGACCTCCAGGAAATGCCAGTCTGATCTTACTCCATAACGACTCTTTCTCTGGGTTCCATGAAGTGTGGAACCTGTGGACATCACCAAATGACCACCTTGTTGTCCAGCAGGAAGATGGGGACATCTGGGAACTGCAGCATTGCAGCCGGTTTAAACGTGAAAACAAAGAAGATTTGATGTACAAATCTGATGGAAATAAGACTCTATTTTCCTGTACTGATGGATTCCATTATGATTTTACTAATTTAGATAGTAGCATAGTGACTGACTGGGATTTGGTTTGTGACCATGAATGGCTTGCTAAATTAGTTCAACCTACCTTCATGCTTGGAGTGCTCATCGGAGCAGTGTTCTTTGGTGATATTGCAGACAGGTATAGTATATAAGAAAATGATTCATGTGAACGTTCATATGTGCTGGGGGTGGCTGAAATGTGGAAGCTATAGGGGGCACCATCTACTCTATAGGGTCATTCACAAAAGGGTGAAGAGTTTGGAGAAGGAAGAAGTGAACAATCTAGGACAACCTAGCTGAACTGGAAAGTGAGCTGAATTGGAGATTGTAACGAGCCCCTGCTCGCTCGGTTCCACTCTCCCGGCACTCCTCTGCTACTAATGGATCAGATGTCAGACCGCAACGTCTGATTATTCGATCGTCCGATAATCCGGGATTGGAACTACAGCTATGTGCCGTTCCAATCCAGCTCAGAACAAACACCAGGCAGGCTGTATGCAAGTTCCAACAGGGATCTGCTTTATTGAATGCACACACACACTTTTATACACAACAGTTTGAACAATCCGCCCAAACCAACACCTTCCTATTGGTCATGCAAATGAAGGCTTGAAGCAGAGTCAGCAGGGATTGGTCCGATAACTTGAAGGGGAGGGCTGATATGTGTGGCCATGCAAAGGAGGACTTGAAACAGGGTCAGCAGGGATTGGTCCGATAACTTGAAGGGGAGGGCTGATATGGGTAATGACACAGAGAAGTCCCAGGAGATAATTACATTACATAAACACAGAACAATGCCTTCCTTCCAGACCACGGAGCCGTTGGAGGGGATTATCCTTAAGACAAACTGTGAACTGTGAAACAAACACAGAGTGATTCAACCCTAAGACAGGGTGGAGGACCCACCACTGTGTAATATAGTCAAGGAGACATGGTTCAGTATTCCAAGGACCATGACAGAGATTTTTTCCAAATCGGCTATTTTGGCCTAGATTGTTCACTTCTCCTACCTTCTCCAAACTCTTCACCTGTTTGTGAATAGACCCCTATGTAACAAACATGTCACACCAATATTTTTCTCCCATAATCTCTAATATTAATTTGAAATATTCTAATATTTAATTAGCTCCCAATGATCAGTTCATCACTGTGACTAGTACTATAGCAACAGCACAGGGTTTAAAAGGCTTCCAAAGCATGAATGGTACTCATTTCAGAATACCCAAGTTAAAGTGCACCATTTTAACCAAAACATTGCCGTCCATTCCCCAAGCAAGTAAAGGAGTACCTTCATAATCTGCTCTATTAGTTTTTCCAATGCTCTCTTTTTGTCCCCAAAATGTACAGCCTAAGCAGCATGATTTCTTATATGCACATGTCAAAATGTTCACTGAAGTCAATCACTAAGTGCTCATCTCTACCGTTAATCATTGCCCAGACAACTTATGTACGCAGAGAGCAGTGACACATGACTGTCACAGGAAGGTGCCTTTGACGTGCAGGCTGTGATTGACAGACCTGATTCACCTTCTTTTTACTGTGTCAGAGGCAGAAGAAGAAAAACTAGGTCGCGGAATAGACTGAAACAGAAGTTTTATTCATGATTATGCATCAGTGAGTTGTTGATTAACCAATAAGTTCATATATGGTAGTTGCTTCGGTAACTTTTGGCAAAGGAAAGGTTGCTTTAATCTTCCAGCATTCTGTATGTGATTTGCAGTCCTCCTCTCCAACTTGCTGCCAGCACAGGGCATTTTAACCATTGAGGCATAGCCTGTAAAATGAAGCAAAAATATGAACATATTTATTACTGTATGTGGAGCCTGAATGCATTACAGTAATAAAGAAGGTTCCGATTGGCTATGATATTGAATAAAAGTGTTACAATATGATGGTTGCAGTTAGGTGATACTGCACACAAAATTATGACATTTCTGGATATTGCTAAACGAATGGTCCCGCTGTTGAGGGCCATTCTACTGTCCCCTCTTTAACCTTCACATTAGATGTGACAAGACTGCAACAGCAAGCTATATTATTAGCACCCACATGGTTCATTTTAAGTAGGGTTGCACAGATACCAAGTACGAGTACATGTACCGATACTTTTGAGCTCCAAGACTACACTAGAGAAAAATTCAAAAGTTAGGAGGCAGCTGTCATTTGTAAGGAGCACACGGGGCTCCTGGGATTTTTACATCTCTGTTTTAATGTATGATTTTGTTGTTATAAATATAAATAAAGGGATGCGCAGATACCAGTTTTGCGAGTACGAGTACTGGTATTTGCCCGAGTACTTACAAGTACTGATACATTTTTGTTTATTGTCATGTGACAGTTTTTCTAAAACAATGCAGACTAATGATTTCAGGACAGTGGTGGAGCGCCAGCCAGGTCCCAGCTGCAACCGCTGCAATCCTGGTAGTTCTCATGAAAATGCCAAGTATCTGCACTGGTACTCGAAAAGTATCTGTGCATCCCTAATTTTAAGTACTCTGTCTAGGGGATTTTGTTTTAGCGAAAATAAAGTGGCGGATTGTAGGAGGAAGCGTTCTTATGAACAAGTTCTGCCAAGGGTGAAAAAGGAAAACACAGATATGTGAGCATGGTCAAACTTACCTTACGGAATGTAAAGTGTAATGTTCTGAAATGCTTTCACCACCTTTTGACCAAATAGCATGTTGCAGGTCATTGTATTGTTGCTCTTACCATCAATTGGACTGCAGGTGACTTTAGGCTGGAAATGATATTTGATAAGTGAGAGGAAACTCTATAACTGTAGCATAAAGGTATCTCTATTGCAGAAGACACTGCAAAACATTAAATGGCATGTACAGGAAAATACTCGCAGGCTTTTGATATAGAGTAACCTCCAGAGTGGTCTTAAAGTGGCAGCTTATTAAAGTACAAGAAATATTAACAATCAGGAAATGATTAGCATTAAAAAATGCAAAAATTTGTATAGCAATAAAAGCAGGCATAAATGTGTGTTTAATGCTTTGGGACTCAGGTGCCTTATCCATGTAGCTGGCTCTTTTATTAAACTAGAACTCCAACCAAATATTTAATACATGCCAGTTGATTCAGTTATGATTTCAGTACGGTAACATAAAATTTATTTTTCACATACAACTTGTATATTTAACTGAATCTGTTTTCATATCAGCTTCCAGTAACTTCATGAATTGTAGCACTTACACTAAGCCAATAAGGCTTTGCTCTGAACACCATACCAGGAACACATGAAGTTGAATTGAAGAAATAAAGGCTCTAATTAAAATTCTTACTGATGTGGTGCCAGCCTACACAACAGGTTTGGTCCATATGGTCCTTGCAATTGGGCATATTCTTAGGAAAAACCCATGCAATTTAAAATAATTGGTAAGGTATGTCTTAAACAGCCACTGACAAGCCAATAATGAACACACCTACGGAAGGAGACAACACAGGAATTACCTCATTGGTGTGCTGCTGTACCTACATTGTTTAAATACAGTCAGAGGTCGGAATGGAGACTGAGGGCCTGTTCACACGACGTCCGTTTTGTGTGCTGACCGGCTCCGTACGCTGCTGCACTCAAAATGCATCCCAATGTATCCCTATGTGTTTTATGGGCTCCAGTTCTCACGTGCGCAGTCCGTTCAGCTTACAACAGAAAAAATACTGCATGTCACATTTTGTCAGGTCCGGAAATGGAACGTATACCCAAACGCATCAAAAACACACTGCGCTGCAGCTAACATACTAACAGCCCCAATCCAGCAAAAAAAATATTTTTTTTTGGGCTGGAACACATCAAAAACGCAGCCAAAACGCGGCCAAAAACGCAATGCATCAGCAGCTCCACGTCTGCTGATCAGGACTTGATCAGGACCTGATCAGGACCTGATCTCAGAAGAACAGGCCCTGATGGAGCAGAATTCCAACAGCCATTTTCCCTCTGTGAGTGCCACTACCAAAATTTAAAAAATCAGTTGTGTGGAGCTGGGCACATAGTGAATGCTTGCAGCTATTATAAGCTATTATAATAAGGTAGGACATACACATGGGATACATAATTTAGTTCCACTTAAAATCTTTTATTAATGCATGATTATGAGGCAGACAGAACCAGTGGCGTAACAACCGGGGGGCGGGGGCGCAGGACTGAGGGGGGGGCGCCATCACCGACCCCCGCTAAATGAAGGCCCTGGCCGCAGATGGGGCCTCGGAGGAGCGAGCGAAAAAAACCGCTATGCTACGAGCGTAGCGTCCCAGAAGCTGCCCACAGCGCGCACCGGTTTAAGTAGTAACCAGCACACGCTGTATGCAGCTTCTAAAAGCGTGGGAGATGGGAGGGTGCGCTTGTTGGTGGATCCAGGAATCAGGTGAGTATTAGAAGAAGAAAAAAGTGTTATTTTATGTTCTATCTGTAGTTCTATAATGGCATTGTAGCACTTTCAGGTGGAATACAGCTTCATAGCATATCAGCTAGGGAACTACAAGTCCCAGCATGCCCTCATTGCCCCTGTACAACAACCAGATATTGCCGTTCCCTGGGTGATATGTGTGTGTGGGGGGGGGTGTACAGGGACAATGATGGCATGCTAAAATGTGGGGGGGGGTGTGTGTGAGAGGGGGGGGGGGGGGGAATAATTTCTGCCCCGGGCGCCAATAACTCTGGTTACGCCAGTGGACAGAACATACAAAGGACATTAGATATTTGAGAATCCAGACTAGCCCTCTAAAGTTCACTCTGTACTCGACTCTGCTAGCAAATGACAGATTTGCTAATTGTTCAGCTGTCAGATATCCAGCTCTCCAAAGTTCAAACATCTTCTACATGAATACAAAGTCATGATCCACAGGGAGGCTGGGATTATGTGTTCTAACTTCTTATTCCTTGAAATGTGATGCAATCTGAATTGCTAGCAGGAGGCTATGGCCAAGCTCAGAAGCAGTTTCATATAGTTGAGACTTATCTCCACTATTTGAGGTGTTGGTTATTCCTACATACAGTACATTTATTTAGGCTAAGATTACCTTGAATACCCCTTTTCATTATTCAGCCATCTGATTTTTCAACAGCATACATGCTCTTTCTAAGGGAACCTTATTATTGTGGCTTTTTTTAGAGAATGTATTTTTTTTATAAATTCT